TTATATTTACTTTATATTCTAGAACTTCTCCAGGCCAACATTTTTCCATTACAATAAATTGTGTCAAAGTACAGGGCATTCAGGTGAAAGATTTAATGTAAGGGAAGGTTATTCCTATCCCACAGGTAGCATGTGTTCGTAAAATTATAACCTAGGACTGAGAAGGGTGGGGTTCCTTTGGGTTCTCTGACCCACCCAAATTCTCATAATCTCTCCCAAGGGTGAATCTGCTTAGAAAAGATCTGTTAGGTAGACAGTTTGCTCCTATTCTGGATCTTTTTCTTAGCAAACATTAGCTTTTCTATAGGTCACTTCATTCCCATGCATAGGGGAAAAAGAGATGAATGTTGTTATTCCATACTGATATTCATTCTAATATTCAGTCCTCAATATTTTGTGAAACAACAGGTCCAATTTCATCAGCACTATTTTTTTAATGAAATAATACAGTAAAACAAATGTACCAGCATTAGATTTGGGTGTGTAATGCTTATTTTATTACTGTCTTTGGGGAGGGGTTGTAATAGCTCATAGGTTAGCAATGTAGCAACCTAATCCCCCCTCATTCTATGAATGTATGGAGGGGGTTTTATATTTAAAAAAATCAATATCTAAATGAAGGAAGCAACTAAGGGGGGAAGCAGACGGATAAAAGGGCCGTCTTGGGGGCAAGGAAGGGGAGGGGCAGCAGCACGGTGGGCGCCCCAACCCCTTCCCAAAGTCATCGTTGGAGCGCTGGACCCTCCGCACATCCAGCGCTCTGACGATGACTTCCCGCCGCAGCGTTCGCAAACACTGCGGCGGAAGAGTCACCGAAGGTGCACCGCCAGCCTTTTGCAGCGCACCTTCGGCGACTTGTGGAAGGAACGCTATTTTAGCGCTCCTTCCAGGGGCGGCAAAGCTGCGCCGCAGGGCCGAGGTGTGGGGATACTGCGGCGCAGCTTCCCGGGGTGGCCCACGGCCACCTGTCTGCTTAGCCCCTAAGATATTTAACAAAATATACTTTTTTGGATGCTTAAAAATTAGTCCACCTTTCATTTGCTGAGCTATTTGCTGGAAAGGAATACATCTTCAATCACAGTAAACATACTTACATAGTATTTACCCCCCCAAATGTATCTATGCTTACATTACCATATATACTTGTATATATGGTTGGGGTTTTTTTTAAGACAAAAAAACAACCAAAAACTTGGGTCAACTTATGCATGTGTCAATGCTGGAAACAGATGACAATCGTGCTGGCTGGATGAGCTTTTTGCTCCCAGCCATTCTGGGTGCTTTAGGTGGAATGGAGTTGTGGCGACCATTTCTAATAATAGTATAATCCCATATAACCCACCCCATACACTCAGGTCTTCTGGGTGACATTTACTTTAGCTGACCAGAACTAAGCTGACAGTCTCTCTGCAAGCCTTGCAAGGTGAGTCTTACACAGTAAGCACTTACTAAAAGTGGTCACTGTGAATGCAAGGCTTGGACAGTAAGTCTTTATTAAAAATGGCCATTACCACTCCGCTCCACAAAGAGCCATAACAGCGGGTTATGCAACATTTTTTGGGCTCCTCCACACTGATGAACACCACTCAGGCCAAAAAAGAAGTTGGAAAGGAGAGACGGCTGCCTTTCGTCTCCAGTTTGAGCAAGGAAGGGGGTAATGGGTAAGAGCACTGTTTCCATGCCAAGAGGGGCTTCTCACCTCTGCTTCTTGTCACTACCTTTGCACTGGGTCCCTAACAGAGGCAGGTTGCTTTCCTTGTTCTTCTCCCTGCTTTTTTTTTTCTTCAGGATTCATTCTTATATGTTCCTAAGTTTTACACTCAACTTATCCATGGGTGATAGCAAAATCCATAATTTTGGCCCCAAGTCCTGCTGTCAACATATATAAGTTGAGAGGTCAATTTATACATGAGTATATACAATATTTACCATATATAATAATACGTACCTCACATAAGACATATATGAGGTCGACTTATACATGAGTATATATAGTATTTCAGATCATCATGGGTTTGTGTGTGTGTGTGTGTGTGTGTGTGTGTGTGTTGGTGTCTTCATAATTCAGAGAAATTGTGAAATAATTGATTTAGGACCTAAACCAACATGAATTAGTTATTCATAAGACAATACAGCATTAATTTGCCATGCAGACAAGAACTCCGGGCATTTCATACATGTCCAAAACATGTATGAAAATAATCTACTGGATATATTTTTAAGAACAGAATATGAGTTTAATATTTCTATTTCTTCCATAAGTTATTTGCATTTAAAAAACAATGTGTGGTTTCCTTTCACACTCTGAAGAATTGAGTGTGACATATGTTGCATTTATTTCTACAGTATTAATCCTATATATGTCTAATAAACACAAAAGAAACAGTCTACCAGGAACTGCTCTGCATTTGTTTCCTCAAGAATTGAGCAGAAGTAGTGCTGTGCTTAGTGCATCACTCACTGTGTTAGTAGAGGACAGCATCAGACACTTAATCTTTTAAAACAAAAACTGCTTCAATTACTTCTAGATGAATTATTCCATGATAGCTTTTCATACCTTTTAAAAACATCCTGAAAGCCTCATCATTATTTATAATAATTGGTTACTTGCTCAAGGTTTCTAATTTCCTATGAAAAATACACAACCACCTTCATACATTACTCATGATCCTGTGCATACCAGCTAGCCTTGTGGCTGATGTATGCATATGGAACATAAATGGCTGCAACAGGAAAGTCCACATACTTAGATAAATGTATGTAATGGGAGTTCCAAGTTGTATCCGATTCTCTGTGTGCTCTGTTCTGTGTGCATAGGCTTCTACACTACACTACACTACACTACACTACTGCATAATGTATAGATGTTGGAAGATGGGGTGTTCATGTATTGAATATGGCCATCGATGGAGCACTGTGCACATAGGCTTTCACATACCAGGGAACCCCATTTTTAAGAGATTTTCTGACTCTATGAAAGCCTAAGTGCATATCTTATAAACCTTGGCAGGGGATCTCAAGGTGTAGAGGATAGGCCAACACCACCACCCAGTTTCATCTCAGTGCATGCATCCCTTGAGTAAGGATCAAGTGAAAGGGGGGTGTACACTTGTTTTCATATCCAACATGAATCTGGCTAGTGAATGAACTATTAGATTAGAGCCCAATATGTAATCTGCTCTACCTATGTATGCAGAGGACTTCGGTACTTGATGCGTAGTCAGCAAAACAAGAAAGCAGAACTTCAGAGTGCAACATTACGTTGAACTCCTTTCAGCTCAGAGAAATGGTAGAGTGGGATACACTGAACACAGTAATGTGTTATGGGCAACATATGATATTGTACAGGGTAAGAACCAAGTCATTGTTTGAGTAGCTCTCAATGAATTGCATATGCATAGTAAGTGTTGGTGGCAAGAGCATCATGTCTTGCTTCACTTTGGTCCTTGTTGGTGCTTAGTCAGAGTTCATACACTTTTCTTTCATTCATAATTTACAAAAAGACACAGCCAGGGAACATTGTTTTGTGAGGCACATATTATTTTGTTGAAGAGCTGTTGGATCTGATAACCCTTAGGTTCATACAGCATACTGCAAGAAATTCTTGCCACATTCCCTCTCTGTTGAACATAACAGTCCAGTAGCTGCTTTAGGGAATCTAAATGAACCCAAAAGCTCTACCATTTTTTTCCTGCAACATATCCAATAATCTGACTTAGTGCTTCAAATACATGGAGGTAGATTTAGAGTCCTACCTTTTCAAGTATTCCTCATAGCTCCTAGTTGAGACTTGTGGCAACTCTTGATGGGAGCTGGGACTTGTGGGTAGTAACAGTAACAGGCTAATTGGAGAGAATTAGCCAATTTTTATTTCTTATCTTAAATTTATTAGAAAAATTGATGGAACTTTTAGTAAAAAGTATTGGTTTTAAATGATGCACTGAAGTCTTCATATAAACAAATTAAAAATAATTTCTTTCTATGACATTATCTCAGTAACATTAAAGCCAATGAAGTATTTGTCATCCTTTGCAACTCCAGTAATACGAGAGGTTCTAGATCACACAAAAGGCTCCACAATAAATTTATTTCTATTTCAGGAGCTGGGTGTGAAAAGGAGCTGGTTTGTGGGTTCCTCCCACATAATTTGACTTACTCAAGCAATATTAGGGGCAGACATGCCATTGATGACTGAAAGGACTATTGGCTTAAACAGAGGCTCCACAATATGATTATATGAGCCTGAAAGTCATTCTGCAAAAATTCCATTAATATAACAAGTTCATTCATAACCACATATAAAAAATTCTCAACCATGCAGCCCTCTTTAGCATAAACCAGAAGGAGATTAAAACTTTCTGCTTTCATTTGGGAACTAGCCACAGCTCCTGTGTCTCCCAAATTATGGGAAATAGTATTTTTTATTACTATGGACATTTAGCTGAATCAATATCAAACTGTTGTCCCAATTCATTAACTAGGTTCAAGTTCTAGGTTCAAGTTTATTAAGTTCTAAATAACAGTTATTTAGACAACTAAAGGAGCTTGTCTCTTTCTCATATAATTGAAACATGATGTGTGAGATTTCTAAGTCTTACAGGCTGGTTTCCATGGTTTAGTATTATATCTGGACCAGGCCGTAGCATTAATCTTCTAGTATAGAGGAGACAAATGTTTTTGGAGAAAATTACCAATCCAATAATCTCAGTAATCTGTAAATTGGTATTCATAACTGGCTTGTTTTTGTTTTTGTTTTTTGTTTTTACAATTGAGACACTGCAGGTCAGAGAACAGCCAGACTCTTGAAAGGCACAGCTGTGCCCCTTTTTTTCTTGCCCCTTTGCTCTCTGGAGGGTAAGCCCTACTTGCATTCATATATATAGTCAGTCCATGGCGTCTCTGAAATCCCCAGTAAGAAGTGATGCTCTAACAGGTACTATACTATAGCCATAGCATAAACAACCAAAGTAATGGGTGGGGACACTGACTTATTTCATGAGAGCATGGTGTAGTGGCTTGAGCATTGGACTAAAACTTGGGAGACCAGGGTTCAAATCCCTGTTCAGCTATGAAAAACCATTGGGCAACTTTGGGCACTCACTCAGTCTCAGAGGAAGGCACAGACTTCTTTGGAAGTTTTTAAACGGAGGCTGGATGGCCAACTGTCAGGGGTGCTTTGATTGTGTATTTTTGCATGGCAGGGGGTTGGACTGGATGGCCTTGTGGTCTCTTCCAACTCTTATGATTCTGTGAGGCAAATCCCCTTTGAAAAAATCCTGCCAAGAAAATCCCATGATAGGAGCAACTTAGGGTCACCATGAATCAGAAATTACTTGAAGGCACACAAGAACAACAACAACAACAACATGCTTTATTGTTCCCTGCTGGCTTTTCAAATTTGAAACAAGAGTGTGCTCCTTCATAAGTCGAGTGGTGTATGTTTACATACAGAAACCCCTGGGTCCTTAGAAGACCTCCTTAGTCTTTTATCTAAATATTTGCCCAGGTTAAAAATGCAATCGAAAAATCTATTTCAATTTTCCCAGCCACTTTGTGGGCAGGGCAGCTTCGCCCCCACAAAAGTTTGTGTGAAGTGTGGTTGGATATGGCAGAAGTGCCATTCTTCTGCTTGGACACTGACCTCCACCACAGCAATTCTAAGAAACTCACTTCTAACCACAGGAAGTCAGCAATCAGCCACCCGTGGTGGTTTCTCTACTGTATATATCCCACCTCTTACTTTTTTAGGCTGTATTAAATAGAAATAATCCAGTCTGACACCACTTTAATTGCCATGGCTCAATGCTGTGAAATCCTGAGATTTGTAGTTTGTTGTGCCACCAGAGCACTCTGATGGAGAAGGCTAACCTAAATGTCTCGCAAAACTACAGTTCCCAGAATTCCATAGCACTAAGCCATGACAGTTAAAGTGGTGTCAGACTGGGTTATTTCTACAGTGTAGATGCAGCCTAAGTGATGTAATTTTAATGTATTTTTTAAAAAATATTAAATAAATAGTAAGTAAAATAGTATTTTCACCTAATTCCTCTACTTCTTTATTATTTCCCATTAAGAATCCCACCATCTAATTAAGGCAGATTCTCATACATAAAATTTCATGATCTTATTATAGAAACTCAGTATAGAAATATCTGGAGCAGCTTCCTCTTTATTTTTCTTTCATCATGTCATATTGTAATATGAGGCATGAATTGAAATTAACTGACCCTTCAACCATTTTTTAAAAAGTGGAATAACTCATCTCAATTCACTTTTGGCAGCATTTTGCATCCAAGTCCTTGGCAATTTTACACTGATTAATTATACTTATTGTTGTTTCTGAAATTGCTATACAACTTGGGGAAGTAATGGTAGCATTTATACCAATTACACTATGTTCCTGTCACTACATCACATGTCAAAATGTGGAGTGTACTGTATCAAAAGAAAATAAATGGGGAAGTAGGAATGAATAATTCTGAAATGTGGGAAAAATATTATTACTCACATACATGTACTCTATCACAACAACACTATTTTCTGTATTTCAGTTGTAGGTAGCTAGGAATATTTCCACAGGACAGAGCTGTATATTTTTCTTATTCAGGGTCTGCCTTGTTATTTTGGGTTTTTAAAAGTATTTTTGTATTATTCAGAAATGCAAGGACATATATTATCATAGCCGAAACATGCTGCCTTCTCCTTTTAAATACAATCTTAACAGGTGTGCATTTAGCAATTCTGCCCCATGTGATTAAATATTAAGCATTTAGCTATATAAGAATAAGAATATAAAACTGGCAAACATTTCTACAGGCAAAGAAGATGAGAGAGAAAATTTGATGAAAGCCTTATTTTCAAAGAGCTGCCTGCAGCATGTTGCTGGAGGCAAGTTAACATTAGCTGTAGTCCTTTGTAAGGCCTATTTATATGGGGATGTAGGTTTTCTGTTTTATTTTGTTTTGGTTTCTTTGTAGTCGTTGAAAAATAAAGGTTATCTAAGCCTATAGTGTCTTTTTCTGTATATCATCTTACCCCTCATTGAATGTTACTTTGTTCATTCTTGGGATAAATTTAAAAAACAAAGTTAAATTCCATCTTAATGTAGAACTTTTACATTTTTTGATTTTTTTTATGAAAGAAATTTTCCATATGAGAAAAGAGGAAATCATGAGTAAAGGAAAAGCATAGATGCAACATACTATAATCATTGTGTGTGTGTATGTGTGTATCCTTGCTCGTCTGATAATATATATTTATGAATGGGAAAGATCTTTATATATCCTCTTCACTCACTGTTCAGGACATCCCTGTCTTCCTCAGTCAATTGCTAGAGCCCCTTAGAGTCCACCAGCACTGATACCTGTTTTTAGTTTGTCCATCCTCTTAGTTTGTCCATTCACTCCCTCAATATTACCTATCAGTAGATTTAGCTGTGGGTGACAAGGCATTGTGGATATTTATAGGGTGGATGTTTTGTAGCCAGCAATTGTCACCATTTATAAAATGACAAGGGGATCAGCAACAGAATCAAAAGGGGCACACTAGGTGGGTAGGTAGTCAAAGAACCAAATGCTAAGTCGGTCAATGGAAAGAATTTGAATTTACTAGCAAAATCATGTTCAAAATTTGAGATAAAAGAAAAATGTCAGTTATTTTTACTTTTAAAAAATATGTTGGGGAAAAACCCATATTTCCTTTTAAATTTAAATTGATGTGATCTTTTTTTCCTTAGTCACTGGATAAAAGGCCAGCCCACAATTCATTTTTGTTTTCTTTGAGATATGATCAAATGGAACTGTCCATTGTGTTGCAGCATATTTCTTCTTCATAAGATGAAGATCTAGAGAGGGTCTCCAGTATCAAATAGCTCACAGTACGCTGGCAAAACAAAAACACTATCACGTTTTACTGTTTCAGATGTCTTATGCTTTAGAGTTGGCATGCTGTCCTTTTTACTGAAATTATTATAACACAAAACAAAGCATGGCTAATGAATTAACATGGATGTCTCTGTGTTATGTTTTATATATGTGTAAGATGTATTTCTTTGTTAGTCATGGCTGTTAGATATGTGGTAATCTGTGTTAAAAAATCTCAGTGGTGAATTTCTTAGCTATTGCTTAAACTGTTGTGAAGAGTGGATATATCATCTGTCTGTTCCAGGTGTGGTGCATGATATTTCTGAGATGCATTCTTGCTACCTTTTCATTTGTTTCTCCAATTCTAGTCTCATCTTGATTTTTTCATACATTAATATTTGGCTTTTCTTTCCTTCCATTTCATCTTTTCCTCCACTGCCTAAATCCTTCCACCATCATGGCAGAAGAAGCTATCACTCCTACACTTATTACCTGTAAGTAACTTATTTGTGCATCATCAGAGACATGCTTTCTGCCATGTTGTTCTGTGCATGAATAGTGAATACTAATGATTCAACGTTCCTTGTGAAACTCAAAACACTTTTCAGCTCTGCTTGAAATGAAAGCATCTTCATATCATTGTGTTCAAAATCACTTTCCCTTTAAGCTTCCTTTGCCACGTACTGTGTGCTAGAGTGTTGTATTCCCTCCCCCATTGAAAATAGTCAGTGGTGGAAAGCACTGTTACTAAAAAGTGCTTTTATAAAATAAGTTTAGGTAGTTTAACTAAATTACTTGTGCCCAAATCCTGTGCATGTTTACTTAGAGTAATTCCTACCAAGATCGAAAGGGACTATTCCTAAGTAAGAGGACATGGGATTGTACCATTAGATTTATCTACTTTTTTTTGTCCCGTGTTGAAAATCTGGTGATGTTTGTACATATGCAGCCATTTACCATATATCCATTGCTGTATACATTTTAATCTCATTCATAAACAAACATGTTGCTCAGCATCCTTGGATATTATAGAATGGAGAGTTGTTGTCATATTGATCCCAGAAAATGAGATGTGCAAATTAAAAAAACATCTTATTTTTGATATTTGGACTCAAGGGCACAAGTTCAGAGGATTTCATTGCTTGTATTTATTTATTTATTTATTTATTTAAAGCAGTCACATTTTTAAACCAAGGTGTCATTGTTAATAGCATATTCTGTAATAATCTCTTTACTACTTTTTCCCCAAAACAATCCTGCTGGAGGATACCCAGCAAAGGAGTCATAATTGTAACTTATGCATATAGATAATTGGCAGAGAATCCTTATTGGCAGAGAATACATTTTGCCTTTGTGCCAGCAAGTAAAGAAACTTTCCAGGCCCTGGCACACATAGCAATCTGGAAAACGCATTACTCCCCATCCTCAACGTTAAGGTTTATTAAAGCATATTTTAAACTTTATTGAAGAAGCCCCTCTATGTTGTAAAAGGACCCAAAGGGGCAATTTCTTCTGGTTTTGGAAAAAGCCCCCCACTTGGCCTGAAAGTGGCCAGAGTACCCAAAAGCTGGCAAATTGCCTCCCTTTCCACCTTAAAGCTTCAAGGGGGACTTTTTCAGTTAAAGAAAATTTAAAAATTGAGGTGGTGAGAAACTGTGACCCACAGGCTAAGGTTTGCCTACTCTTGCTTTATGCCATACACACAAGAAGCTTACTAGTTACTTGTGGAAACAGAATACTGATTTGAATTGACTTTTAGTCTGTTCTAGCACAGATCTTCTTGCATTGATATAATGTCCTCTATGAACCAAAAGAACAATAGAGAAGGAGACAATGATCCAAAATACACTGCAGAAATAATCCAGTTTAAGACTGCTTTAACTTTCCTGGTTCAGTGCTAGGTAATTTTGGGAATTGTAGTTTATTGCGGCACCAGAGCTCTCTGACAATGTCTTGTCCTGTGTGAGGCTGAGGACACAGAGGAGGACCAGAGGAACCCAGCCCTGAACCTGGCCTCAGTTCCTCAATGCCTGTGCCAGCAGGGAATGCTGCCAAGAAGGACAGTCTGGCAACAGTTCAGCAGAGGCTCCTGCCAACATGGGCACCAAGGAGAACAAAGAGGCAAACTTACACATGCCATCTTTCATCCAGCAAAGGTCAAAAGGGGAGGGTCTGCTCCGCTCCCTAAGAATTTATGCAGAATGCCA